CCTTTCCTGGGGGGGCGGGCCGCTGCGTGGTGGGTGGAGCTTCCAAAACAGAGAAGGCCCGGTGGGGCTTGGGCTTCGGTCGGGGGTGGGGTGGGGGCGGCACACACTCTTCTCCCGGCTGGAAATGGGGGCAGGGCCCCCTGGTGGCTGGGCTGCGAGCCCAGGGTCTGGCTCCTGGGCGCCCGTGTGGCCGAGAACCTTCTGGACTCTAGGGGCTTACACTGAGGGCGATGGGGCAGGAGGGAGACTCCTCCCCACCCCCAGGGAAGCCAAGCTTCTAGTCCTAGAGAGTTTTGACTGTCCTTGGGGTGACAGTTGTGTGTGGTCGCAGTTTCTGGGCTGAGGGCTCTGTGTGGGTGCAGAGCTTGAAGAGTGGGCGTGGGCAGAGTTCCTGGGCTGTGGGGTTTTCCAAGCCAAATATAACAGTATATGAACAAAGCTTCCGGTCTGGGGGCTTGGTGAGGTCAGAGCTTCGGACATGCACATTTTGAAGACCTGTCAGAAAACCCTCAGAGCTAGGGAAGCCTGGCCACACTGTATGAATGGAGGCTACCGTGTTGCCATGAGGAAGATGAACAAGTCATAACTTCGATTAAGGGCTTGGAAATGTGCAGGATGCTTAGTCTGGCATCTTGGGCTAGACCACTAAGCTTAGGGATATAGCTTTGTAAAATCTTAAGTTTTGGATTTGCAACTACAGCTCTGTCTCAGAGGCCATCCTGTAGTTAAGCAAGGCATTGAGTTAGATCTCAAAGTCCTGGAGGAAAAGCTTGTCTCAAAGCTGACTAGGTTGTTAATTTGTGGAGACCCATATCAGATGAAATGCAGCAAATATCAGAGCTGAGCAGCTCGTGACTCAGAGTCTCCTACTTGCATGTCTCTTGTATCCTGTAAATTCAGTTTACTAATCTGAAAATACTACCTCACTGGTCCTATTCACTTACCAGTGTATACCCCAGTGAGCTGGAGTAAGGAAAACAGCAGGGACAAAGACATAGTGTCTGGTAGCACGTGCCTGTAGTCCTGCCACTTGGGAGGCTCAGGCAGGTGGGTTATGAGTTTGAGACTACCCTGAGCTATGCAGCAAGTTGCTTTAAAAAAAATAATAATTGGCCTTCCATTTCAGTAGGAGACACAATAACCATGTTAACAAATAAGATAATTTCAGAAGTACTGGAGAAATTGCTCAGCATTTGTTACTCTTGCTGAGGGCCTAAGTTAATTTCCTGTTTGTTACTCTTTGCAAAGATCCTCGGTTCAATTCCTAGTACCCACATTGTGACTCATAGCCATCCCTAGTTCCAGCTCCAGGGATCTGAAGCCCTCTTCTGACTTCTGCACTCACTGGGCAGACATGTGGTGCACATACATACATGTAGTCAAAACATTCATGCACATAAAATAAATTTTTAAAACATGTTTTTTAAAAAAGACAATTTTAGAGAGTGGATGGTGGAAAAAAATAGAAATAAGAAAGAGTCATGGGAGCAGCCATTTCAAAACTGGCAGTAAGGGGCCTAGGGAGAAGGCTCAGTTTATGAAATGCTCGCTCTGCTAGCCTGCGGACCAGAGTTGGTTCCCAACACCCATCTAAAGTTGGCTGGGCAGGTGTGGCTACACACCTGTAATCAGTCCCAGCACTCTGGCAGGAGGCAATGGATCCTTGGGGCAAACTGGTTAGTGAAATGATGAGCTCTGAGTTCAGCAGGAGACCCTGTCTTAGTAAACAATGTGGGCACAATCAAAAAAAGACACTGGTTGGGCAGTGGTGGCTAGCACTTTTGATCCCAGGGCTTGGGAGGAGACACAGGTGAATCTCTGAGTTTGAGGCCAGCCTGGTCTACAGAGTTCCAGGGTAGCCAGGGCTACACAGAGAAGCAATAAAAAAAGAAGTTGAGTGTGGTGACATGAGTCTGTAATCCCAGCTCTGTGGTAGAGAACTGTGCAGACCTGCTGACCTAAGTTCAATCCCAGGGGTCTGGAGAGATGGCTCAGCAGTGTAGAGCACTGGCTGCTCTTCCAGAGGTCCTGAGTTCAATTCCCAGCAACCACATGATGGCTCACAACCATCTGTAATGAGATCTGGTGCCCTCTTCTGGCCTGCATGCATTCATGCAGGCAGGACACTGTATACATAATAAATTAATAAATCTTTAAAAAAAAAAAATCAAATGGACAGAAGGAAGAAAATGAAATACCAGTTAACCAAGATAGTGTTGTTGTCATCCTTGATATATGCCCTCCAGGAGGACGAAGAGGTCCCAACAGGACATCTTACTGTCGAAATCCACTCTGTGAGCCAGGATCTTCGGGGGCCTCTGGTGGAGGCCATACTTCCAGTGCATCTGTGACCAGTGTTCGTTCTCGAACCAGGTAAGCTACCTAAACTACCTCTGTGTCTCATTTCTTCCTTTGGCAGTGTGGATGCCAGTGTGGCTTACTGGATGTTAGGATGTACTCTCCTACATGCCAGGTGGAGTTAGAGGGGACTGAGCAGCTGCAAAAACCAGAGCTCTGAGGGTATTCACTTAGAGAGGTGCCATGCGATTGGGTAGAGCAAACCACAGCCCCTGGTCCCAATTGGGTTCTAGTCTTGATTTGTTGATGGCTTGCACAGGTTGCCATCTGCCTCTGGACCTCCCTTTCCTAATCTGTAAAGCAAACCTAATAATTCCCTCCTGGGAAGTGTAGGGACCTGGATAAAAACCAGGAGAAGAAAGGCTCTTTTCTTGTGCTCCTTTTGTCTACCAGACAAGCTAAGGAAGACTCCATCCATTCCTGTGAGCTGATGGAATCCACAGTCCTGTGCTCCATCTGGAAGATTTTCCCAGTCAGGTTTTCAGCTTAGCTCCTGACGTTATTGTTTTCCAGGACCAGCTCTGGCACAGGCCTCTCCAGCCCTCCACTGGCCACCCAGACAGTTGTGCCTCTGCAGCACTGCAAGATCCCAGAGCTGCCAGTCCAGGCCAGCATTCTGTTTGAGCTCCAGCTCTTCTTCTGCCAGCTCATAGCCTTGTTCGTGCACTACATCAACATCTATAAGACAGTTTGGTGGTACCCACCCTCACACCCGCCCTCCCACACCTCCCTGGTAGGTGCTTAATCAGGATCGTGTGTGTGTGTGTGTGTGTGTGTGTGTGTGTGTGTGTGTTTTGCTTGGTTTAAATTTAGCACAGCTTACCAAGCACCACTATATGCCCACTGTATACCTGGCTCCATTCTGGGCATGATGGATGTAGAGGGAACATAACTGATGGCTCTTAACTATTTGTGGTGTGCTTGGGACTATACTGGGCATTGTAAGGGTAGCAGAGTTGAATCAGACGCAGACTGGATCCTAAGGCCTGTCTGACAGATGAGTTGTGGGAATGTATGAATGTTCCAGGGGTGGAAAGAACTCTGGACAGAAGAGGAGGCTCACGGACATGGGTGTTAGAGCGAGAGTGCTCATACACCACTCTCTTATCCCCAGGGACTGTCCCACTACCCTTCTCTGGGTCCTGTTCCACTCCTCTAGGTAATTTCCTGGCCTGAGTCAGCTGGAGGCCAATGAAGGTCAGAGAATGGGGACAGTCTCTGTGGAAAGGACTGGGCAGTGGGAGGTAGTGGGTATAAGAAAAGCCTACGTATGGAGAAGGGGCCCGTGTGACTCCCAGGCCTCTGCCCCTGACAGAACTTCCACCTGATCGACTTCAACTTGCTGATGGTGACCACCATTGTGCTGGGCCGCCGCTTCATTGGGTCCATCGTGAAGGAGGTGATTTGGTCCTGGAGGCTGGCCAGGGACTTTGGGACTCCCCCTTCCTATGGGATGCCAAAAAGTACACACCCAACCCTTAACCCTAAGGCTTTTCCTTTGAGCTCCTTGTGGACTTATTTGGAGAACAATAATGGTGTCTGTTGGATCTCCCAACCCACTGGGCATCAGAAAGCCTGTCCTTACCAGGCTCTTCCCAGCCTGCTGTGCACCGTTCCCTGGGTGGGATTATAGGCCATGGTGGGTGGGGTTTGGGCATAGCTCCTGTGGCCTCCATCCAAGGCCCCGTCCTGTCGTATCTCATCCCGACCCAGGCTTCTCAGAGGGGGAAGGTTTCCCTCTTTCGCTCCATCCTGCTGTTCCTCACCCGCTTCACCGTTCTCACGGCAACAGGCTGGAGTCTGTGCCGGTCCCTCATCCACCTCTTCAGGACCTACTCCTTCCTGAACCTCCTGTTCCTCTGCTATCCGTGAGTACCCCTCATCTCAGCCCTCAGTGCCTAGTACCAGATGCTCGACTCTGTGCTTTGTCTGGAATACTCACAGACAGGCAGCAGCAGCAGCAGCTTCTCACAGTGTCTGGTGACGTCTCCTGAGGTCAGGGTGATTAGCCTTTTTTTCTGCAGAAGAAATTGAAGTAATGTAAGCTGCTTCATGTTTTTGATGGGAGGTTGGAATGGGATTCAGATCTTTTGAATGCCCAAGGAAACATTTGCTAATGGGGATGCATGGGCTTTCTTTGTCTCTCTGTCTTCCTTTCCGTTCTCTCTGGCTTATGTGTTTGTTTGTTTGTTTGTTTTTGAGTTCCTGTTCGCTCTGTGTCCCTCCTCACCTCCTCTCCCTTCACCTTTTCTCCTTCACTCTCAATGTTTATGAAATCTCTTGGTGCTTTTCAGTG